ATTCGGCGCGCACGGTCTGTGATTCAATATGATGTCTGTGATTCGGCGCGTGCGGTCTGTGATTCAATGTGAACTTTTAATCACTTGGCGGGCGCAATTTGTGATTCAATGTGTGTTGTTTGTGATTCGGCGCGCGCGATCTGTGATTCCACGTTTTGTCTGTGATTCGGGACTTCCCTCAAAACGGGACAAGGAAATGTTTTGCGTTGCTTAGCCCTGCGCTCGGCCCATTGCTTAAAAAGATGTGGGCGTTTTCGCTTCGATTTTGCACTGTCTAGCGTCGTCGCTTCGCTGCTTCTGGGGGAAGAAACAAAAAAAGAGAGAGAGAGAGAGAGAAATCAAACAACCAAAAATGTCAACAAAGAAGATCATTACAAAATGGCACGTAAATTTGGCAATTCGCGCAAAGAGCAACACCAGCGCCGTGCCGCGATGAGCAGCATCATTGTGCCCATCATCATGCACATTGCCCGCGGATCTTGTTGTTTTTTACCAGAATTATTGCTCGGGTACCGAATCCACTGCCGCCAGTGCCGGCAGACGAGCTCGCGGGGTGTATTTACAGCGATGTGTGCACATTATCAGCGCACCTCGTCGAAGACAAAAATATTATTAAACCCGAAAAGAAACCAAATACAACATTGCGTTGGTTCCGCTTTGGTCAGTGGAGGGGCAAGGCGCAGTGGGGAATATTTCTTTGGGAATTGTTTGTAAGGCGGGGCAATGAAGCGCATGAAGATAGGCTAGACGAGCGGGTAAATATTTACGTTGGGGAATTGAAGAGGTGGATTCGAAGAAAGCGGTGCATTTGTCTGGTGAACATTGTATGGGGGATGATATGGTATGGCTGCAGCTATATTCTCGCCCCTAGATGGGCATAAACATGTCTCGGGACTGACCCAAGTAAGCACATTCAAATATTATTTCGTTTGGGAATCGTGCGAAAATTTCAATCGCGGTGCGTTGTGGCATGCATGTGTGTTGATTTGCTTTTGGTACCAATGCCGGCCCATCTTAGCTACATGCGTACGTAATATACAAGACACATTTTCGCGCGAGGGGGGAGGAACAACAATCATTATACATGTGTTTAGATGCGCAAGGTATACAATGCATATCATAAACATTCGTCTTCTCCGTATCCAATTGGCCTGAGAAATTTGATGCTCAAATCGTGCCAGGTGTCTTGTCTCGGAACGTGTCCATTAAAATTTTCGAACAAGCGAAACGAACATAAACAATTAATAACAATTCTGCTGCCCGCTTGTTTTTTGCCCCCCCCCCCCGCGCGCGTTTGCAAATCAACGTAACCGGCATGATATTATTGAAACATTGCTGCACGTAGCGCGTGAGTGTTCGGGCTCCCCGAAGTGCACTTATTTCTCCCAATGCCACTAAATTGCTCACAATGGGTGCCGTCCTGCATTTGTTGATCGAATGCGTCGTCATGCCACTGATTCCTACCTATTACACAAAAGTTCGGCGTCGTGATTTTTTCCATGCGGGGTCTGTGGAAGTTTCGACCCATTCCCAAGGCCGATTTTTCATCTGGAATCGTCTTTGCATTGAAAGGTATCGCAAACCCAACGTTGACTCACAAACCTCGCGCGGCGAATCGCAGACCGTACGCGCCGAATCACAAACAGCCCGCCCTGATTCAGAGACTCCGCGCACCGAATCGGAGACTCCGCGCGCCGGATCAGAGACTCCGCGCTTCGAATCAGCGATTCCGCACGCCGAATCAGAGAGTCCGCGCGCCGAATCAACGATTCCGCGCACCGAATCAGAGACTTCGCACGCCAATCAGAGACTTAGCCACATAAGCCCGCCGAATCGGAGACTGTGCCTTCTGAAACAGAGACTGCCCAACGACAACGAGTCAGAGACCGCCTTCCTTTTTTCCTGTGCTCTCCCATCAGGGGCAGCTTATTTCCTTGGAGTCTCGATGAGCTGGTTGATCCGGCTGATCCAGTAGTTTGGCCAAGTGATCCGGTAACCCGGCATTATGGCAAACTTATCCGGTGATCCGGCTGATCCTGCAAATCCGTCTGGTCTGGTGATTTGGTGACTTGGCCAGCTGATCAGGTGATCCGGCTGCAGGGATACTGGCATGGAGGGAAGAAAGGGCCAGTTCGCCAATGTATTCGTGTACCTCCTCCTCATATTCCTTTTCTTTTTTCCATCTCTTTGTTGCCCGGCTCCCTTTTCGTGCACCTGCCACTTCTCCTGTTCCCATCTTGTTTCTCCAACGATATCGCCGTCGATTCAATCTCGTGCCAATTGGCTTGCTACACGCCCACGCCAACAATAACGATCACGTCCATTCCGGAAATATTGGTTCGTTGCTTTGGAAAGGGCCGCCGCGAAATAAGCGGGGCACGTGCAGACCGTCGCCATGCAAAAGCAGTTCGTCATCGTGTAGGTCGTCGCAATATGTTCGACATTTTGAATGTGAGCGGGATCCAGAAATAAACCTGCTATTCGACAAACTTCTGGTCTATAATTCCGGGTGGTCATGGAATTGCACACAGAATTCCATATTTGATGGCAGCAAACGTGAAAACCAAGATTGCGTAATGCCAACTAACCGAAGATAGTTTTTAACGACGGGGCCGGTCAGCAATGTGCAAAGAGGAGGACGAAGAGGACAAAGAGGGGGGGGGGAGGAGGAAGGCGCCCACACTCACCCCGCCGGCCCCGTCGGCCCGTCGAGCCAAAGGTCGATGGCTCACTCCCGTCCTACGAGTCGAGCTGGCTCGCCCCGTGGTTCACCAAGGTTGGTGGCCCCAGGGCACTCTGGCTATTGAAATCATTGTGACCCAGCGGGATAGCCATGCCCGAGCGGCCGACTTCAGTAGGGGACGTGGTTCAAAACGAGCCCTGACGAAAACAATTTTATCCAATGAATCCGACGCTGCTGCGTGGAACCGCCCGCCCGTTCCATCGCCGCAACAAGCAAGAACAACGTTGGGTTGTCAATAAGTTACGGGTGAACGGAGTTGTCCGCCCAGACCAGAACATTCCCCGGCGTTGACTCTGCGTGTTCACATGGGGTGCCGTTGCTTGCAACAGGGAGACCATGATGGCATCGATAGCTCGTGGAACGCTTCTTGTCACTGGTTGTCCACCTGCGACCCTCCTGATCCCTTTGTAGTACTGCGATATTACGTAGGTAAAAGCTCTCACAAACCCGTGCCCCTCTGTCTGGCATGATTCGCATCCACATACGCTCGATATGAACATTGCGTCGTTTTAATCGGCCTGAACGTGGGCATGCCCCTGCACGTATGGTCTCCCAGGGGGTCCAAGCAGCACTTGTCATGTCCAGCACCGACAAATTTCCATAGCAATTTTCGGTTTGCATCTTGATAACGAAACGGACTGCGTACTTATCCCGGTTACGTTTCCATTGTAAAACGGCCCGAATTCCATATTATAGTCAACGGTGAATCCATATCCACCAGTGCTTGTGCAAGAGAGAACCACAATACGGGAGCGTGCCCAAAAACCCATGTTTCGATCTCCTGGCTGCCCCTTTTTCTACTCTCCGCTCTCCCAAAGCGCCGGAAACCAAGAAACGGCCGGGGGAAACGAAGAACAATCAATAATAAGGAGTTCGACAGACGAGACAAGCAGGTGGGAAAAACGGTTCGGGGAATATCACTGCCATCGCCGCCACTGCTGCCATCATCGTCGCCACCGTCATCTGACTACCCACCAGACCACCCAAACCCAACTCGACCATCACCGCCACCAACCACCACCACAACCAGTACCACCACAACAAACCACCACACCACCACTACAACCACAACCACAACCACAACCACCACCACCACAACCCACCACCACCACCACAAACCACCACAACGCAGCACCACCACGACCACCACCACCACCACAACCAGCACCACCCATCACCATTACCAGCACCACCACAAAAAAATAACCACCAAAACCACCACAACCACCACCACCGCAACCACCATCGCCAACGCAACCCACCACCACTACCACAACCACTACCACCACCACAACCACCACGACAAACCACCGCACCACCGCCACCACCTTAACCCACCACCGCCACAACTACTATCACCACCACCACCACCGCCAAAAATCACCGCACCATCACCACCACCGCCACCACCACCACCACAACTTGCCACCACAACCGCCACAACAACCACCACCGCCACCACCACAGCCCATCACACCACCACCGCCACCACCACCACCGCCACCGCCACTTCCACCGCCACAACCACCACCACCACCACCACAGCCCACCACCACCACCACCACAGTAGCAAGGCCCCAGGAGACGCCCAAGAGGCGCCCAGGAGTCTTCACAAACGCCCTTCAGAAGCCCCCGAGAGCCCTCCGACGAGACCCCAAGAGCCATCCATTGGAACTCTGACCCAAAACCAAAGCACGGTGGCGGAGCGTCGTCGTCGTCATCGTCGTCGCCGTCGTCCTCGTCGACGCTTCGCGCCGTCGCCGCCCGCCGCCGCAGGCGCCGGCGCCGGCCCAGAAAAGGAAGTCGTCGCCCCCGCCGCCGCCGCCAGCCGCCGCCGACGCAGGCGCCGGCCCGAGAAAAGGGAATGAGGAAAATAAGGGGAGGGTAGAGGTGTGGGGGGTTTGAAACCCCCCCGCTTCGGCCACGGGAAGGGGGGAGGGGGTCCAGTTCCCCCCCCCTTTGCAAGCGACCACAGAACGCGCTCTTTCAAAAAAACGATACATGTATAATGCATGCATGGTCGTAGATGACAATGACGTGTGTGTATATATATATATATTCATATTATACACGCCTTGTATTTCTGACCTTTTCCGACAAGCTGTCTTAGACACCTCGTGACCAATAATTGTTGTGCTTCCCTGGTTCCTTCAATGAGCGACGCACCTCCTTTGTCGCTTGTCGGTGGATGTGAATCCCCCATCCCGCCTGGTCCGCGAGAAGTAATTCATGACGTCTAATCGCCAATTGTCGTTAGCTGGCACAAATGCGTGTATGTGTGGATGCGGGTGCGAAGCAACATCCGTCCGACAATTATGTCGCCCATGGCCCCCCT